TATTCTCTACCGAAAACAGAATAAAGAAAACTTTCATTTCAATAATATGAGTTTAGAATAGAAAAAGAAGGAAACACTTATTCTCTATTATTTATCTTTTGCTTTTGATTGATTGCTGTAAATTGATTCTGTTATCAGTTATTGCCTTGTTAGACCACGTAACAGAATTACTTAGTTATTCGTGCCTTAAAGTTTGAAACAATATTGTTGAAATCCAAACAATTACGAGCAACCGAAACTAATCATAGAAAACAACACTAATTAGGAAATTTTTCATCATGAGTCACAACAAGATAGTGTCACTGATACATTATCGTTTAATATTTGGAATAACACTGCAATCCGTATGATGATTTAAATATTAAGTCGACAATTTTTCAATCATCTCTTGTCCTAAAATAAAAGACTATGGTCACTTAACTGATGCATCATTCTTATTTTTGTACTCAGTAGAACAAATCAATGGTCTCACTTCATTCAAATTTCAACATAGTCTGAACTCGAAAAATTGACCAGTGAATATAACGAAAACGGCAACTAGTGCCCAGACACAATCGTATTTTCTGATCTTTTAGACAGATCGACATCCACACCCTGAGGAAGCCAACTTAGTCAAGAAAGTCGTATAACCCCGAATATATTAGGACTGAGTAAAATTTCTGATAGTGATGTTTGAAATTTTACAAAATAGTTAATATCAAAAGTTATATTGCATGAATACATAGTAGAATGCCTCGCCTTCAATAGAGCGTATAAGGGTGGGGTGTGAAAATCAATCTTCTTTACAAAACCATGCACGCTAAGACTCTGACCCCATCTACGTCTACGCGGTGACACTATTCTATGTATGCATCAAGCACTCTTCACTAACATCTGTGTAACACACACATATGATCGAAACTTGATGTTATTAGCTGCAAAAAAAGGCGCAATAGAAATTAATTCTGCAAAATACTATTGTGGGACCAGCTGCAAAATAAAATATCATTAGAGCCAGTAAAATAACAGAGAAGCGATTTTTTCAAAGGCAATAATAAAAAACTTATTTCTTTTTTGACTTACATTTGATCATATCTTGAGTATGTATGTTGATATCGTTTTTCTCTTAGCATACATCCACGAAAATAGATACAACGAAAAATAATTGATGGAAGATATTGAATAGAATGTGGGTGTAGATTTGTGTCGAAGAAAAACGACACTCATACCCTGTTATTGAGTCGTGGATTTTCAAAGCTTTCAGAGAAAAATTCGTACAAAATTGAAGCTTCGATATTTTTAAAATTTCTTGCATCCAAACTTCATAAAAATACTTGCCTCTATCATATATCTTGAATGAAAAAAAATGTGACACGTTCAATTGAGCACGATCGATCGTGTCTTACATGACCTACTCCATAGAACGCCAACTAAATGATCGTATACTACAATGTCAATCAAATCAGTGTAACTGACTTTCCTAAAGGATTAAAACTAACGTGAATAGATGAAAAGAAGAAACTATGTTTTTAGGTGCATTTCAAACATTAATCTGAGCTGAATCTTCTTGATTTCAAACAATACTTGAATTGTCACAAATGAAATTCACGTAACTGACAAAGGTAAAGAAATTTAATTTTTTTATTTTCAGATAACCAGTGAAGGTTTATTTATTGTTCAAAAGTCCTTACATTGATGGCTCTATTTTGCTTCTTTTTGAAAATAAACTTAGAGGAATATCAATAATTCAATAGTTATACTACTAGTTTCAGTCAGTGCAAAATATTGTAATCTATGAAATATATTTAACAAAATTTTATCTTCAACTTTTTGACATTATATCTTTGATGTTGCTGCTTGAAGAGAATATTATCCGGATAAAAATATATATTTTCTTTTGAAAAATCAACTCTAAGTCAAATTAACGTAAGAAAATAGTTGTCTTCTTAAATAAACATGCATAATGCATTCATGAATTTCGATTGAACTGACCTGATTTCATATCAAAATCACTTGTATAATTTAATAAACTCAAACTAAAAAAAGGTTACATGTTAAATAATGAATGCATCAGATTTAACAAGATCGTACATCTGGTCATTTAACGCAGATGTAACGCTCTCTTAGAACCATAATCATTTCTCTAGGGCTCAAAAAAAAGAGAAATACAAACATATATATTCTAGTAAACTTCTTGGTGCCATAGAAACCCCTCGCTTTTCTTTGGTTTCAGCGCATACATCTTTTTCAGAGTCTTCTATTGGAAAGAGAAGTTTATAGCATATCTTTCGATTATGTTTCTCATGGTATTTCAGTCTATATAAAACATCTATGAGAACTCATAGGCGGCATAACGTCAATTTTTTTGGGGAAGCAAGAATTTATCGCTTCTCCAAATTTTCCTAGAAGAAGCAATTGAACATATTATTTTGCTGATATGTCGCTCAAATCCATATAAGTAGTAAAGTTACGCTTAAATTATCTATAAAATAGAGGTAGTTAGAGGAAGCGATAAATTTTTATTGCTACCCCAAAGTTTTTTTTGGGGGGAAGAAAGTGCTTCTCCTCGCTACTATAGCGCGCCGCCTATGTGAGAACCTCATCTTTTAACGAAGCGTTCAATCAAATTGAGTTAATTAATCTTCAGTTTTTATTGATTTATCCATATTTGAAATGTGTAGCAATATTTTTTGAATTTTATAATTTTGATTAAAATAGAGGCCATGTGTGCTTGCTCTGTTTGTTTGTTACAACAAGTAATATGATTATTAAAATAATGCATTTTCTATTGGTACAAATACGATCCAATAGAGTTGCTTTCTTCTTTTGGTTATTTATTAATAGTCTAGAATCGCTTCTTTTATTGAAAATAGCCAATATAAAAATAGGTCTTTTCTGCATTAGGCGAATAAATTAGATATTTCAAACACACATAGCATTGTGTGAGAAGAAAGACTATTTCTATAGTAGAAAAAAGTATCTATTTGCCTTTATTTAAGAATTTTGTGTATTAAAGATGAGTTTTCTTGCACGAACATTTTCACAAGTTCTTAAAAGTTCAGCAACAACAACAACAACACTTCTTTTAAAACCAAATCATGCGACATCATTGGCTCTTCGTTTAGCATCAACAGAATCATGTCAACAAAGTACAAAAAAAAACATGAGAGAGTATATATATATTATTTTGTTTTTTTTATATCTACAGATGGTAATAAGCAACAAAAAAAATATGAATATGTATTAGTGGACATAAAAGGACAAAATTCTAATGTCGCACTTGTTCAACTCAATCGACCAAAAGCATTAAATGCATTGTGTGATGGTCTTATGAAAGAAGTATGAATAGTTTTATTGATTTATTTATTTCTATTGATCGTCTTCTTTTAGTTGAGTACAGTCTTAGAATCACTTGATAAAGATGAAAAAATTGGTTGTATTGTATTAACGGGCAGTACACGTGCATTTGCTGGTTAATTCTTGTTTTTTTTTTTTTCATTTTTTTAATAAATTAATCAATTATGAATATTTTAGCCGGTGCTGATATCAAAGAAATGCAACATAATGAATTAGCACAAGTGGTTAGTTCAGGTTTTCTTGATGAATGGTCAGCAGTAACACGAGTTAAAAAACCAATTATTGCTGCTGTCAATGGTTTTGCAGTATGGTTTATTAAATAAAATATGATTCATCTATTTTTTTTTTTCTTTCATTTGATAGTTAGGTGGTGGTTGTGAATTATCAATGATGTGTGATATTATCTATGCTGGAGATACAGCTGAATTTGGTCAACCAGAAATTATTATTGGTACAATTCCAGGTAAAAAGTTTTATTATATTGTTATTATTATTATTGTTTCTATTTGAAAGGTGCTGGTGGCACTCAACGTTTACCTCGTTTTGTTGGAAAATCAAAAGCAATGGAACTGGTATTAACAGGCAATCGAATTAGTGCAAAAGAAGCTGAAAAGTTTGGTTTAGTTAGTGCTGTTTTTCCACCCGATAAAGTTGTTGATGAAGCTATCAAAACAGCTGAAAAAATTGCAAGTCATTCAAGAATTGTTGTACAATTAGCTAAAGAAGCAGTCAATGCTGGTGAGTGATATTCATTTTATTAATAAAAGATTTTATACGTATTTTATTTAGCATTTGAAACTACATTGGCTGAAGGAAATCGTTTGGAAAAACGTCTTTTTCATACAACATTTGGTTTAGTAAGTTAAATATTTTGATAGCAGAGAAGATTTAATTTTTTTTTTTGTTTTCTTTTTTGCCACTCTATATAGGCTGATCGAAAAGAAGGCATGACGGCATTTTTAGAAAAACGTAAACCAAAATTTACTGGTCATTAATGGTATTATGAAACCTATTGTTCACAATGATATCCAACTTGGAGTAACTTATTTCTAAAAGATTTTTTTTTTCGTAGTTTATCATATTCTGTTCTCGTGATTTCTTTTAATTTTTTTTGCAACTAAAATCATTAGATGAACAATGTGCTTCTTTTTTTAATAACAGAAGATACATTCAGATATACATGATGACATAGACGAAAAAAAATAACTAATGATGTTTGTTTAAAGAAGTAGATTTAATCAAACCTTGAGTAAAATGAGAGTTTTCATGAGTTTTAAACACAAGACAAGTGTATGCACCATTTGAGGATGTTTAAGATCATTACCAAATTTTTGTTCTTTTTTTTCTTACAATTGATCATCGACATTCAAAGAAATAGAGACGAAGATGCAAAATTTATTTAACGGATTAGACAGTATCCGTTTATCTGCTGCTTTTTTTTTCTCTTTCGCTCTATGATCTTAGCACGTTTATGTTCATTTGATGTCTATGACTGACATTAAATGTTCGTTATCTATGAAGACAAAAATGATATTTTCTCATTCGTCTTCATTTGTATGACAGCTAAAATCATCAAATATTCAGTTTGATGTAGATATAATGCCTTGTATTTTTCTTTTTCATATTGAAGATCATTTGTATATAAGTTTATCATTGATTGATCGATGAAATCGTTACCTATTAATAAATATATTAGTTTTATTATTCTTGTTATTATTGGCAATTATCAACATGCTATATCGACTGCATTATCGTCTGGAAACATAGTTTCATTCTACAATGCAAATGATAAAGTAGTCGTTCTTAATAGTCAAAATTTTTCTCAAACAGTTTATCAATCGGAAACAGCATGGCTCATTGAATTTTATGCAAGTTGGTGTGGTCATTGTCAATCTTATGCTAATGTATGACAGATCTATTTCTTTTTTTTTGAATACAAGACTTTCAACTTTTTTCTCTTTTTCTATAATAGACTTATCGAGAAATAGCTATTGACACTTGGAGTAGGTAAAAAAATGTATCATTCTGGAAAATCAATTCTATTTTTCTTCAGTGTGGAAAACGATTATTCGTATTGGTGCAATAAACTGTTACGCAGGAGACAATAAGCCACTGTGTCGCCAACATAGCATCAGAGGCTATCCGACTCTTCGAGTAAGTGAAAGAGTTCTTTGATGTTTCTTTTTAATCGTTGTTCCTTCTTCGTCATTATAAAATAGTTCATACTACCTGGAACTATCTTTGATAATACATCTAAGACGATTGAAGTTCCAGCGACGAACGCCAAAGTTGTACAAAAAGGGCTTGTTAAAGAACTTAATAATATACGAAAACAAAATCCTTCATGGCCACATTTTATACCTGTCAAGTAGGATGTTTATTTTTAAGCCACCTTACTGGATTCGATGACCGATTATGAACGACGATATCATATGTGTAGTTATGTAGAGCATTTTGCGATACATCGAATAGTATATAAGATATGGAGTCTTATGAAACTTTTGATGTGCTCGCAGTCCATACACTGATTTTAGTCCTTGAAAAAGATATATACTGCTCATAAACATTGTGATATCTAACGTAAACTTCTTCAAATTTTGTTTTTAAACTCAGTTTGGTACAGTTGCAAGTATTGCTCGCTCTGCTATAGTCAATAGTTTTCATCGTTGCTTTCTTCATACTTAAAACCGATCCGTTTTCTTAATTCTAGCTTATTTCTCGAATACTTGATATTTCAATATATTCGACTCTGTGCCCCAGAGCAAGTGAATATGAACGTGAAACTGCCTAAAAAAGATTATACATTTTTGAGCTCTGTATGTTTTTCGTATAACATCTTTGTGAACAGCAAGGGCTCACGTCAATTCGCAAGATTGTTTCCTAGAATAGACTATTTTCCTGTATGTCAGGGTCGATATATTGACGATATATTAATAACACTGAACGATCGTACTAAAAATTTTTATGTACGAATAATCAGCACAGCAACTCTGATCAGTTAATATAAATAACTCCTTGATAAATGAAAAAAATTTTTAACCTTCAGATCTCTGGAGGAGAGTGTGGGTATAAGACTGTACGAAGGAGGTCTACTATTTTTATTTTTTATTGTTTAAATTTTTATTCCGAGTACTCTGGTTTGAGATAGGCAGGAAACTCGACTAAGCAGTATTGGACTCTTAGTACAGTAAAATTTTCATAAAACTTTATTTCTTATCTATGATTCGATATGTTAGAAATTGCTCTACAAAACTACATATATGGTATTTCTGGTTCAACATAGCTCATCAAATCTGACAATGTCATTTTGATTAACTAATTTTTTTCTATTGTTTCTAGTCGTATTACATTCGAAGAACTTTATGCACGCATTCCATCAACAGTTCAAATGCTTTTAGTGATTGCAGAAAAACGAGATGATTTTACTGGTCGACAAGTAAAAATTCTTTTTCTACTTTTAATTAGAAGTTTTATTGTTAACATATAGGTAATGCTTGACTTTTCTAAATATCGTGATCAAATAGCTATTTTTCGAACGACTACAGATGGAAAATTATGGCGTAAATTTAATATTACCATGACAGATGTACCTGCTTTATTTGTTATCCTTCGAAATCGAACTTTTGAACGAATTAATATTGGGCGAAATAGCAGGTAAAAAGAATAATTATTTAAAAATAAAAATAATTTTTATGAATTTATTTTTTTTTTCGAAAGTAATAATATTGATTATCGAGATTTATTTAATAATGCTATTCGATTATACATTAATAAAACAAAATACATTGAGAATTTTGATGATCGTGACTTCGAAGAAGTTATTCTTAGTAAAAATGCACTTAAAAATACTGAAACAAAACAAAAACTTGCTCAAAACAAAAACGTAACAGATGAAATTCTTGATAAAAATACAATTTATCGTAAAGTAAATATGATTGATCTTGAATTGGCTTTGTCTTATATGTTTCGAGAAGAAGTACCTCAAACGAAAGAAATTCACGGTGAAGCATATGATGCGCTGGTTCAATGGTTGACTGTACTTACTAAGGTATGACATGTAAAACATATTCATTGCTTAAGAGTTTTAATATTAGCATTAGTTTGAAAATATTGATTATACGATGGTCTATAAGGTTTTTAAATAAATCGTTTTTCTGCAGCCTGATTGGCCTTTGTATACCTTTTTCTAGGTCAATATATTCCACAAGTAATTGAATATTTATGAATGGCAGTCTTAGAAGATGAAAACAAGTAAAGTTAAACTATTTACGAATTCGAATTAACCATAATCTAGATAACTAGAGTAGCTTGAGGTTACTTTCGGTTTCTTACCAACATTAACTATCTACGTGTAAATAATAACAAATAAAGTCTATAATATAAAAATTTTGTAGAGATTCTAAATAGAAAGCGAAACGAAACAACTTTAAATAAAAAAGAAACAGTTCATTTCGGTTACTAATTCTATGTGAGATCTAATAGCAAAATGAAAAGTAGAAGACCTGTCTTTTGCTTTTAACAGACTATCTATTCTGTGTGCCATCTATCAGCTGTACCAATCACAATCCTTATTATTCTGAACAGAATATAAATATGTACTATTATGAAGTTCTGACTATGATACATAGAAAATAATAATTACCAGAGGTCTAAGCAAGCCGTCTAGCCTGCCTGTCTGAAATACAAACAAGCGCTGACTCTCGCTTCTATTCCAGATATTAAGTAACTTTTAACACATTCTAATCGGCTATTATTATTATTATTATTACCTCACATAGATCGTTGACTAATCTCTTATTAATCGCTGATTCGTATTTATATTGTTATACTGTGGTAGGATTTGCTATGCCCTCTTCAACTAGTTTATCGAATTCATTCAACAAGCTTTTACTTTTTTCTAAGTTACTGTTTGCTTTTTTTTTTGTCTATTCTTGATAGATAAATAAAGTATGAAATCAATCAATCAGTTTCGATATGCAGGATTTCTTTGCTTACTTATAAAAACTTTCTACTGCTTTCATTCAATTAACATCTCAATAGTAGTGTATAAATAACAAAGTAAACCAGACCTTAACGTGTAGTCATGCTAGGTCTGCGATAACAGATAACAGGTAAAGATAGATTAAAGACATTCACAACTTCTGTCATGGGTAGGCTACGCCTATTTCTACCTTTGATGTAGTCATTATTTTCTAGAACATATAACTTTGTGAGACACTATGTATACTCAAAACTTATTTTATATTCGATTCTAATTGTTTTGATATAGTATTTTCCTGGTCGTGAACCAGTTATGGCTTATTTTAAACAATTATTGTTAAAAGTCAATGAACAATCTAATGGATTTAGTGGAAATCAATTTCGAAAGATAATTGATATAAAAACATCGAATGCTTATTTACCAAATGATCATGTTCAATATCAACATTGTGCAGGATCTGCACCACAATATCGTGGTTATCCATGTGCACTTTGGCTTCTTTTTCATACTCTTACGGTTTCACAATATCAAACAGGTTTCTCTATCTTCACTTATTCTTTTTTTCTTCATTTATCTTCTTTTATTTTCAATAGCACCAAAACAAATCAATGTTATTGAAATTCCATTAGCTATAAAAAATTATATAAAACATTTTTTTGGTTGTCGACAATGTAGTATTAATTTCATGAAAGAAACTATTAATATAACTCAACTTAACTCACAAAATAAACGTGAAGCAATTATTTATCTTTGGAAAAGTAACATATCTTCCTGAATAAAATATCTTGTTGGATAAGATGATTACCCTTATTTGAAAAGCCATCTATACCATTTTGGTGGCCAAATCGTGATGCATTGGATCCTCTATGGAAAATTTCTTTTTCATTAACTTTACATATTTTGAGAAGACACATACCAATAAATGGATTATTATAGCAACTGTGGATAATACATCCAAACAGCAGCAGAAATCAGTATGTATCCAAACCAATCTATATCGAATTTTGTTTAAATGTACTTCTATAGAGTGTTGTCTTGCTTTTAATTGTATATATCTAATAATACTCATAATAGCTTTCTGCCTACTCAAAACCTTAATATTTTTATTAGTTTTTGTAATTTTGGGCTTGGACGATGTTTTAAATTGTTCGATACTGTCCTCAAAGCAATAGACGACTAACCGTGCAAATTTCTCAAATATTATGTGTCATCACGTACTATGAGCATGTCGATTGGTTTTCCTCTGAATTATTGTGCGTTATAGTCATATAGACCAATCAATACCTAAAAAAAAGGCCAATTATTAGATTTATAATATATGCTCACTCTCTTATGATAATGAAGAATTTCACATATTCCTGTATCTCTTCGAAGGATCTGAAAGCGAAAAACTTTTTTCCCATTTTTCAAAGATCCATATAAATCAAATGATATGGCATGATGAACTTTTTATTGATAAATGGAAGTTTTTCATTCAAAAAGTATTTATTCCAAGACTTGCATACTTTTGTCTTTTGGAATCGAATAATTGGCGTTTTTTTAAGGCTTTCATTACTTGTTCTGACTATGACGCATAATAATTCAGAGAACAATTAATTGGTATACTTCAATAGCTTAATGATACACAATTTTTGAGAAATTTATACAGTGGTTCTTGGACTTTATCCTCAAAAACAATAATTTAAAACATCATAAAAGGCAAAAATTACAGAAACTATATAGTATAAATGTTACGGTTTTCGGTACAAAGAAAGCGATTGTGAGTATTATTAAATTATACGACTGATGAGTAGACAAAGCTCTATTCAAGTAAATTTAAACAACATTTAGTATAAGTTGGTTTGAAGACATATTGAGCGTTAATGTTAGTCATATCATTCACAATTACAATAATATCCTTTAACTGTTAGATGATTTTGCAGAACATAAAGACTTAAATGAAAAAGTGATATTCTGTACACCGTTCAATGCGCCACAAGTTGCTCTACAACACTTTATAAGTGGCTTTTCAAGTAAAGCGTGAACATCTTATTCGATAGAGTTCTTCTTATTAGCTTTTTGATAAATTTAATCTTTTAGTTCATAATCGTGTTAATAAACGTTTACGTGGTAAGGTAACGGAAGATCCTCAATATCCAAAAGTTCAATTTCCAAGTAAAAAGCTCTGCGCAACATGTCAATCAATGAATAAGGATAACACGTCTAATGAATATATCATGTCAAAAACAATTGATTTTCTTGTTGAATATTATTCAAAAGAAAATATGGATACATCATTAATATTGAACAAATCTTATAATAATGAAAAGCTATTAACTCGACAAGAACGTTTAGTTTCAAGTATAAAATATAAAACTGAAATAAAAGAACATACTGGATTAGTTAAATATATTATTACATTGATACAACATTTTTCGTTGTATATTTTTGTTGCTGTTATTATTATTCTTGTTCTATTTCGTCGTCGATATTGTAGAGTAAAAACAAAACGTTATCTAGTTTAAAAAAGACAACATTTACTAGTCATCATTTTATCTGTCTCATTCCACTTAACTCATGTCTAGAAGAATCTATACTCAAACGAGTGTTCGTTTTTTTCCACTTTCTTCATGAATCTTATTATTGTGACGTATAACTGTTAGTTTTATTTGTTTTTTTTTTATAATCTCATTTTCTTTCATTGCTTTTACTTAATTTTTTTCTGGTTTTTATTCCAACAATTTGTGTGCATCTGATGTAATATCGAAAAATAAATTATATACAGCCTTCTATGGGGCTCACTATACCAATATATATTATATCTCATTCAAAATATTTCTTCCAAGAGACTATTTGATGAAGCATTAATTAGAACAAAGTAACTTTTAATAAGTAGTACTTGTTACGCAGTCATAAAAGATACTGTATATGAAGAATAACAAAAAAGATTCACTAAAACTCAACGGGAGAAAGCAGGTTTTAGAATACAAAATTTCTAAAATCTTATAAAATCCATCAAATTCATTTGAAACCTTTCAGAATCTTTTGAAATCTTAAAATAAGGCGTGTCACAATACCGATACAGTATTGAGGTATTGATATTGTTACATCCTTAATCCGCTCAAGAAAGGATTTTCAAGAAAAATCACGATTTTTGATGAGGTTTAAACGCAATTAATCGAGATCGGAGAATCAGAAGCTGAAATCAGTTTCTCCAGGGTTTGAGTTTTGTCAATTTAAAAAAATTTTTCAAACAGAAAAACATTTCTTTCTTAAAATCGTTGTTTTATTGAGAAAAATTTTACCGTTCTCTAAAATGTTATTTTGTGAAATAATTTACTTTTCATTGAACATGGACGTTTTGAATAACAAAATGTGTGTAGGAGAAAACGGAATATTTTTTTAGTAAAATGGTGTTTCTGTTTATTATGAAAATCAAACTCAAAATTTTCAAAAACTGATCACCGACTGCGATTCCTCGACCCTACAACTTGTCTGGTCAAAGTTTATATAAAAATCGAATTTTTCCATAAAGTAAACGCCACATAGAAAAAAAAATATCGAAACAAAGTGGTATTCTAGAGCTCTCTAGATATTATTGGCAGTACGACTAGTGAGATATTGGCAAGAGAGAAAATAGATTTCAAAGAGTTTAGGATATTAAGATGTTTTTTATATTTTGGAAGATTTCAAGTGGTTTTGTTGTAAATTTTACTTTACTTGTGTGTTTGGAACAACAATAATCAAAAAGCTGAAATTCTAGTATAGAGTACAAATAGACATCCAGTTTGTGTACTGTGAATATCAAACTCTGCTACTCTTCGAAAATATCAGAAAAGAATATTGTTTAAAAGAAAGAAAACTTATATTACATCTTTTATTGATGATTCATATTTACAAAACGCATTACATTCGACCAGGTTTCATTCTTAAAACAAGATGTATTAGAGTACGCAGAGTTTATTTAATTGAAATCGCTAGAAACCTCCAGGAATCTCAAAAATCTAAAAATCTTTAAAAATTTGCGTTATAGCCCTTGATAAAAAATCATTATAGTTCAAAATTTTCTCTACAGTTGGTAAGTAACATATTATTTAAAAGAGTTTGGATCACATGAAACATTTTCGAAGCGATTTAGAGCGATCTTAAGAGATTTAAAAAGGTTTAAAGATTTTTAGATTTTCAAATTTTAAAAGCTTGTTACTCTAATAAATCTTGACTTGAGAACGAAATCTGGTCTCATTTAATGCATTTTGTAATATGAATCATGAATAAAAGATGGAACATAAGTTTTGATCCTCTCACAGAATATTCTTTCCGGATATGTTCGACGAGTAGCAGAGTTTGATATTCATAGTACATAAACTGGATGTCTATTTGTACTCTATACTGGAATTTCAGCTTTTTGATTATTATTGTTCCGAAAACATAAGTAAAAGAAAATTTATAACAAAAATCACTTGAAATCTCCGAAAACCTAAAAAAAACGTTTTAAAAACTTAGAAACTTTGAAATCTGTTTTCCATCTTTGATGAAATCTCTATTAGATTCATTAACAATATACTATGTGAATGAATTTGAAGAATTTTCAGTTGTATTAAACAAGTTGTTATTTTTGAGTATAAAATTTGTTTTTTTTATACGTAGAGATTTTGAGGCTCACACAAATTTAAATCATCACAATTGAAGTTTTGTTTTCAGCAGAATACACCATCTAATCATAAATGAATAACACAACAAAAGAAATTAACGAAGGATCTAAGTGTGGGTATACATGTTCTTTTCATCCCATACTCACACTCACACCCAATTTCATCTACATGTTGCTATTCCAGTTATTATGCAAGACATTCTTTGCACTGAACTAACATTTCCATATAGAATGCAATATACTTAGTCTCTAATTAGAAATTAGATGTATTGTAACTGATCAATCCGAGAATGATCTGAACTAACATCAGTCCCAGGTCAGGGGTACAGGATTGAACGCGTTCAATATGAGATTCTAGATTGAATGCTAGCATAAGTGTGTGTGTGATGACTAAAAAAAATTTATAGTTGGTCATTTACAACAAATATTACTATCTGATCAAGTAGTAAAAGCTAGTAATGAATCATGTTTAAATTCAAGTACAAGTTTATTGTTTAACAAACTGACATAAGTTTATTCTTGTGAATAGTGACAAAAAGAACATGTCCTAAAGAAAAACTAAAAGCTTATTCAATAAACGAAAAAGGATTGTTTTCATTATTTTCTTCATTGTTTTTATTTGGCTGATCAGGTGAAACAGATAATGGTGAAACTCTTTTTTCAAGTCGTGCTGGTGGTCGATCAAGATCAATGGAATGTTTTTTAAACAAATATGTTGATTTTGTTTGCAATGTATCATCTTCAGAAACAGGTTGTAAACGTGCTCGATTAAATGTTGGTGATGGTGTTCGAGATGCTGAATGACTTCGATTTGCAATATTACCTTCAATTTCCGTATCTGAAGATGTTGCAGAGAGTGTTGGTGAACGAATGCGAGGTATAGGTGGAAGAAGCAAATCATTTTGATTAAAATGAGTTTCAATCGTTGTTGCTGGTACTGGTATTTGCGAAGAATTATTTGTAATTGTCGACGTTGATAAAAGTTTTTTAGCGATTGTTGTTGGACCAATTGATACATGTTGCTGTTTTTGATATTTCTTAACTTTATGACCAGTTAATAAATCACTTTCACTTAGATTTGTTCCATTGGATGTAACTGTGCCTTCGATAGTTCTTGTAGAATAATCAGATTGACTTTCATTTTCTTCTCGACGCTCTAAAATATTCACATGATTATCATCCGTTTTAAGTTTATAGTAGTATAGATTATAGGAAATGCGTAGACTATAACATTCCTTGTGCTTTTGAAAACTGCTCATGCAACGTCCCTTTTCTTACAACTCAACCGCTCTGCACTATTATCTGCCTCGAGTGCCGAGTTACGCTTCTATAAGTTCAATAACGAAAGAACTCTATAAATCTTAATGATAGGCTACTATTTAAGCGGTCAGTAAAATAGATGAAATGGTCAGTAAGATAAATGGTCAGTAAAAAGTATATAAATGATCAGTAAAAAGATTGAATGGTCAGTACTTAGACTATCACTCATATAAAAAAAGATTGGAAAAAATCTAATTTTAATCGATTTTTTAAATCAAACCAGTGCTTAAAATAAATTAAATTTATAAATATTAATTTTAATGGCGGCGACGGTAAAATGCGTTTTCTCAAACTTTATGTTGAAAACTCAGATGTTCGATCGCTTTTTCGGACTCCTTGCCTCGGAAAATTAGTAGATATGATGCTAGATCGACCTTTGACATAAATTCCATGCTTCAAGACTCGATATCAATTGGTACTTATTCATTTAAAAAGAAAAACTATTAGAATTGATTAAAATCGATTTAAAAATTTTAATCGATTTTAATAGATTAAAAATCGAATAATCTGACTAAAATTGAGTAAAATAGTCAATGAAAAAATTTTAATCGGTTAAAATGGATATTTATAAATTTAATTTATTTTAATCACTAGTTTGATTAAAAACCTGGTTAAAACTGTCCCATTTTAATCGATTTTTAATCACAAAAAATCGATTAAAATCAGATTTTTTCCAATCTTTTTTTTTATATGAGTGATAATCTAAGTACTGACCATTTAATCTTCTTACTGATCATTTATACATTTTTTACTGACCATTTATCTTACTGATCATTTCATATATTTTACTGACCATTTCATTTATTTTACTGACCGCTTAATAATATCCCTTAATGATATGTTATTATGAATGATGATGTAAAAGTGTTGAAGTATAGAAGTCGAAATTTGGACTCCGTTGACACAGGTGTGACAGAGATGGAATCGGTTTGGTTACAAAAATCTCGAACGAATCCTATTTAAATTCGATATTCTAATACACTTGTTAACGTGTCCAGAAGTTGACTCAGCTCGCTTTGAAGTTTTTACAAAATAGATCAGTTCGGTTCGGTTTGATTCCAAAAAATACGAACTGATTCTATCTTTTATACGCGAGGAATGACTCGTTACAGACCGTTGCAAACACCATTGATATATGACTAAAGAGTAGATTTCAATAACGTTTCATTATAATTTATGAATTACTTCCTTATTGCATTTCTCGAGGATTAATTAAAAAGATAATAAAGAAATGTGCCCTAAACCAGATAGAAGAAAAAAATCTTCTTGCGATTAGTAACCATGTCTACATCATCTTACTCTTATTGATCTCGAAGGATTACGCCAGCATCGTTTCTGTATTTCTCACTCTATCAAACAGTATTACGCTTCTGTTTAAAAAAAAAAACTTTCCAAGATACAACAAGTCTCTCGGTCCACAAAGAAAGACTATTGGACGGAAAGCTCATTGAATCTGAACTCGATGAACTGCTGCAAATTAGATTCGAATGTTGCTCTGTTTTTGCTCAACACAAAAACTTTTTTGGCAACGATTAAATCATTTTGTTCATGAAA